AAAGCCGGCCGGCCGGGTCTATTTAAAAGTTTCATGTTATGAAAACCAAGTAATCAAATTTGTATGGCCTAATATAATATAAAGAATTTCAAAAAAAATTATAAATCTAAAAGCTAGGCAATGACTGGGTCCTAAAAGCTAATTTAAATATTTAAACCTAAGAATTAGCAAAAAATTAGAAACTCGAACCCAAGCAACGCTGGGTCCTAAGAGCTAGTAAAAATAATAAAATTATCTCTATAATTTTAAATATTTAACCCATTGATAAATCATTAATGAGGCTTTTTATTTATATTTAATACTGAAGATGTTTATTGACTTGTATGTATATTTAGGTTTTAAAAAGCCAATTACAGAAATTATAAATAGCAAATAAGCCATTAGCATCTATGTTTAATGTTGAAGATGTTTATTGGCTTGGCCTGGCTTGTATATTTAGATTTTGAAAAACCAATTACAGAAATTTTATAGTTGAAGATCTGAAAACAATGTAAGTATGTATTGTATGTATCTCTTATCGTTATTAATTTTTACATATTATCTGTACTGATTTATTAATAAAAAGTCTTTTATTGATTTAGCCAATAGGATATCGATATACAGAAATATGTAGAATAATCTTAATTGTGCTAATTTACTTAATTGATAAATATTTCTTAAGTTACTTATTAAAATTGATATAACTGTATGTTTTAAATTTTAGTCTTATATAAACATAAATGTAGGAGCCAGTGGTGCCCTTACTTACACTTGCTTCTGTTTCTCATCAGTTTCGTCACCTTTCGTCAGTTTTGTCACCTTTTGCCAGTTTCGTCACCTTTCGTCATTTGAGATTTTAGTTGACGAAAGACGAAACTAGGTTTCGCATTTCGTCAGCGCGAAACCTCAAGGTTTCGTCTAACAACTATACCCTAGCCCTAATCTAAATAATTTTAAAGAATTTATCAGTTATCACATGATCTGAACATTTTCGCCATGGCTAGAATATTCTTTATCCTGTAATATGAATGAAATAATATCATGGTTTTTATTAAAGAATTTGGCATCGTATAGTAACTATATGCCCGTAAGGTTATTTCAAGGCAAAACACCCACATATCAACTTTATAATTTCTTCATTCGTGAATAACAAGTAGAGCTGTTATCCGGGTCACATTGACCCGTACGGGTCAAAAATTTGACGGGTCACGGGTCAAATTTTAGTCTAACCCAGATGGGTCAAACTTTATTAATTTATATTCTAAAATTAGGGTAGCTTTGCGACGCAGTCGCGCTAGAACCAGGAACGTTATACATATTTATGTATATATCATTTCCTGTTATTAATAAAGCTTTTTTTTTTTCTAGAATTTAATTCCGCAAAAAAAATTTTTCTCTTATTATAAAATCATCCTGTACACTTTTACCAATTATTTTGTCCATCCTTAAATAACGTTAAACGAAAAGCATTGCACACATATTTCTCATATTGAAATGATCCAGTCTAAACGAGATATGCTCCGGAAATAGTCGAGCTGATAAGTATGGCTTTAGCAAAATAAAATAAAATAAAATAAATAAATAAAATAGTTAAATTTAAAAGCTAACTATAATTATTTAGAAAATAATATTTTAATAAAAACAAACACGTAAAAAAAATAACTTAAAACATTCTTTATTTAAAAACAAGTTTTTTATGCGATAGTGACATATATTTCGTTGCCCTTTTTCTTCTCAAGCGCATAGCATACTTATGAATAAAATAATTGGTAAAAATGTACAGGACACTCGTGACAGACGATGATTTTATAATAAGAAAAAATTTTTTTGCAAAATTAAATTCTAGAAAAAAAAGGCTTTATTAATAACAGGAAATGATATATACATAAATATGTATAACATTTCTGGTTCTAGCGCGACTGCGTCGCGCAGCTACCCTAATTGCTTATTGTTGTATGTAGAATGCAAATTGGCTGTTGAGTTGCATATCTTCTTGTATGGCATGTTAACCCGGGTCTGTATTTTCTGACCTGGGTTATAGCTCTAATTGACACGGGTCAACCCGGGTCGAAAATGGTTGACCCGGGTCAAACCCGGTCGCTATTTTTTGACCCGGGTCACGGCTCTAATAACAAGCACGTGAAATATAAATCTAAAACTTGACCGACCAATAACGGTTATGGCTAATAACAGGTCACAACGGTTATGACCGTAATAGTAACCGTACCCATACCCAAGGATCACAATTTTAACTTTATTTAGGATAATAATGAGAAAACTAAAAGTTTAAGAGTGATTTAACAACTAGACATGTTAGATCTAATGGTTAGGCAACGCAAAGTTAATGGCCTATTTTTTTCAATTTTCAAAAACATTATTATTATTCTTTTTTTGATATTTATTTTTTCCGGTGTCACCTCTTAATCACCTATCATTAATTACTTAATATCATACCAAAATTAATATAAGAAATGTATTTATATTTGAATTCAATAACCAGTTCAGACCTTACGTTTATTTCGGCCTGTGGATCCGCATCACCGGATCAATTCTGATCAAAACTGTAGATCATTTGGCCAAATTTAATTCGTTTGCTCTAGATCTGGCCAACTGATTTGCAGTTTTGACCCGAATTATGAATTATGGTCTTATACCAATAGGGTTGGCAAATTACCGTAATTTTACGTAATTTTACGTAAATCGGTGTAAATTTCAGAAATCAAAATTACATGTAATTTTGATCATGCGAATAATTTTGGCCAAAACTTTTATAAATCTGGCATTAAAGAAAGTATAAAATTACAGTTCCGAACATAATGACGGATACTATTAATGCCGGCAAAACTTATTTAACGCTGGTGCAATTATCATGTGACAATGCACTATTTAATATAAAGTTACATTACAATTTCGTAAGTTACAATGTAATTTCATGTAACGAAAACTGTAATTTATGTAATGCCAACCCTATATACCAATCAACCATATTAAAAATCTGGCATCGGCTATAATTTAACAAGTCGGCTAAGCCGTTTAGTCCGGCTAATATCTGCTACAGCTATAACCGTAGCTAAACCAATCCCTATTTATGATAATAGAATAACAGTAATCTTGAAAAAATTTAAGATTCAGAATATCCAGAGATCGTTACTAAGAGCGCATCGAAAGAAGGTCAACTGTATTTTCTATTTTTATTGTTCAAATCAATTTCGTCAGTAGTTTCGTCAGTCGAAACCATTGATGAAACCATTTCGTCATTGCAAAAATAGTTTTGTCACTCATCTTTAAAAATGTCCCATATCCATGATGGTGTCTAATGTCACATTGTACACAAGGGCTTATCAAACGATCTGATTGGCTAACAAAGCAGCTCTTATTATTATCTCAATTGTCCGTGACGTTAACATTTTGGCGGACATGTCCGGACGTCGCATCCTGGACTGTCTGTTGTTCGTGTCCCTGTCCCAACACTGCCTCACAGGTCTTTATAATAATTTAATGATAAGCCGATCACATTTTCAAAATATATAATTTTCAAATTTTGATGTAGCATTTCCCAGTCGTGTATAACCTCAAATAAACTTTAAGAATGTACGATTTGATATATTTGTAGTTTCATTAAAAAATTATAATATTTATGGGACAAGATTAGATGTCCCGGGATGGGACGAAAAAGATCAAAAAAGCTTGGGACAGTCAAAATGCACAACAATAATACATTTAATATTTAACTTTTTATCTGTGTTAATATTTGAACCTTTTATCTAATTCAATCCTCAGTTATGTCGCCATTTTGTTCAAAGTTTTTGGATATATAATTTAGGTAAAGATATAACTAAGGTAAATTTTAACAAATATATAATATTTATTCTGCTAAATATTGGAGATATAATTGAGGCTTGACTGTATATTGATAATATAAATATATTAAATCGCTATTATCATAACAGATAATGTCGATAAACAGCTTTGTGAATTCGGCATAACTATTTTGGTGGTTATATCTACATATTAAAGGTTTTTTCGAATTAACGAGACTCCGTCAAAGCATGGTAAAAGAATTTGTGAAGTTCGTTGATCATTGGCGACGTATTCGTTAAATGAATGTATGTGTTTAGCTGAGGGAGGAACTTGACTGAGGTCTTTCCCTTCAGCCACACGTGATACATGCCCACCAAATAACGCTGTTAAAAAAATTTTTGTTTTATAAATCATAAAGTGCCGGTTTTTATGTGTAAATGGGGTTGAATTTCTTAAATTTAGAACATTATTTATGCAAACCTATACCCTAAGTTTCTTTTAAAAAAGATCCGAACGACTTCAGTATTTTTTTGTAAAAGTAGACTAGTGGTGGCAGAAAAATGTCGATGATACATATGGAGCTACTTAAGAACCAGAAATATGTTAAGAAACAAAATTCTATCGGAGGTCGGAAATGATCACCAATCATGTGATCTCGACATTTTTCTGCCACCACTAGTCTACTTTGAAAGAATATGTAATGAAAACTCCACTACAGGCAACAGTCTTTCACATGCGTTTATCAACAGCAGTCGTTAAATACTGGCGATAGGCATATGTGAAAGGATAGATTAGTCGCGCAAACAAAAATTTAGCAGATTAGCCAAAGTTTCGAGTCAGAATTATCGGAGCTAGGCTAGCATTAAATAATAATACCAGTCTATATTATAGCAAAACTATCTTCTGAACAATTTTACTAAGTGTGTGAGCTTAATTAGTAAAATTTATCAATTCCGGTCCATTCTGACCCGAATTTGTCTGATCATGTGCCTGACACTCAAAGTATTGAATTCGCTCGGATTTTAACCATAATAGCACTGATATGAGATTTCATCCTAATCTAAATTTAATTTAAAATTCAGTTCCCATTTAACACGAGAAATGAAAATTTAATCAAACCATTATCAACGGCGATAATTCCATCATCAGAAAGAAGGTTTCGTTCGAGAATAGTATTATAATAGTTGAGATAATTTCTTTTATCAGCATCTAATTTCCGACATGAGAATTAGATAAATTGTTAATATTAAAAAACACATATTTATCATATTTTTTTTAAAAAAAAAACTATCATACCAATAAATATCAGGTCGTACTGTATCGAATTATCCAAATTTGAAATTCTAAAGGTTTTTAAGAACACTCGTTTACATTTATTTATAGTAATGAAGATAAATAAAATAAATTATCACTCACGTATCCATTGCATCACCAAGTTTCAGCTCAATCAGGTGTCCAAGTCCTGAAGATTCTACGTTCTCTTTTGCCGCCTTAAAATTCTCTTCGTCCTTTTCTAACGTAACTAGTTTTGCTTCTGATCCTCGCTCTTTCAGACCTTCGGCCATGCACAACGCCGAATAACCAGTGAGAGTTCCAATCTCCAGCACTCTTGTAGCTTTACTCATCTGTACAAGAAACTTCAAAAAAGCTCCTTGTACCGGAGACACCATCTGACGAGCAATTGGGCATGAAGCTATGGTTTTTTCCTGGACTGATTCTAAATAAGGTGATTGTTTAGTGGTGTAAGCCAACGAGTATTGTTCATTCCGACTGAGTCTTGATTTATCATACATGATTTTTCAAGTGCAGAAACTAGACATACTCAAATTTTGATTTTTATCTTTTTTTAACTTGTTTTTTGTGTAACGACTTACCTAAAGTTGATGTAATGACTTTAAATTAAGTTTCCAAATTTATATATTTATATATGCACTTGTGCCGCTTCTAACCATTGTTACTACAGTGGCTAAAATAATGATACCTGACAAATGACGAAATATTCGTCATTAGCGGATGTTGTAACCATTTCGTCAAGTAATTAGGGTAGTTGCGCAGTATGTGACGCGGCGCAGGACCATTACGATCACGCAGCCAAGTTCAAAATGGATGTTCATGTAAAATAATATTTGTCAATAATTTACCCGTTTAACGGTTTAACTTTTTACCAGTATCACATATTATAAAAAAAGACACTTGCTCAAAATAAACCATATCAGTTACAAACTGGCAGTTAACTACATAAACTAGTTTTAACTAGTTACATGGAACTAGTTATGAAATTTGTATAACCGGTTATTAAAAACTAGTTAACGTTAAGTTAAACTAACTAGTTAAATTATTCGTTAAGAATTCTGGAGCTAAAATTAAACATATATATATAGCTGTAATT